TTCTATTTGGGGTTTTATTTAAAGATTTTATTAAACCAATTCTTAATAATATTCACTAATTACAATTTGAAAAAATTATAAATACTTTAAAAGAAGAAATATGGCTTATTAGTAGACTTGGCTGTATTATAGCCAATTTGCCTCAAGGTAGTAACCTTGCTAGTATACTTAGATATAATACAAATTATAGTTGCAGAGCTTGTTCTATATCTAGTAGCCAATTAACAAACTCCAACTTTAACTTTGTTGCGAATATATGCTTTTACCACTTAACCAATATACAATATAATGAAATTGTATAGCAACAAACAGACCATATCAGCGGATTTTGGAAATTTACTATTAAAAATTCCAATCATAATTAACTGTGAATAACTTTTGATCTACTGGTTCGTTTTCGATGAAACAATTACCAAAATGTTCATCTCGATGAGACGATTCTAATGAACCCAAAATCGTCAAAATCCAATCTCAGGATCCTGAGGTCAATAGAGATTTGCGTCACTTCAGGTGTGTTAGGATTGGTTAAACCAATCCTAAAACACCCGAAGTGAAACAAATCATTAACGATATCAGGATCCTGAGATTGGATTTTGACGATTTTGGGTCCATTAGAATCGTCTCATCGAGACGAACATTTTGGTAATTGTTTCATCAAAAACGGACCAGTGGATCAAAAGTTATTTATAGTTAATTATTATTAGAATTTTTAATAGTAATTCTAAAAATCCGCCGATATGCTCTGCTCGTTGACAACTATCTAGTCAATATAGATTTAATACAAAGCTAATTCTTAATACTCTTTATTGGGACAGATATTTACAATCACTTCAAGATGCTTATTATGCACTTGCTAATAAAGCTATACGTCTTCTAGATATAACTCTTAAATATTTAAATACTAATGGAGAAGTAGCTTGGCTTAAGTGTTGGAAAAGTATCAAAAAACTAGCAAGATGGTCACAGATATCAAATTCACTAACTCATTATCATAGTTTTACATTTTCAGATACTTTACATTTAGCAATATTAATGCTATTTATTCTATATTACTTTTTATTACTTTTATATTTAAAAGCTGAAATAATTGAATATTTAAAAAATGTATATAAGCTTACTCGTAATGATCATACTATTATTAAACTAATAGAACTTTGAATAGTTGAAACAAAACTACTTAGTTGGCTTTCTTAACAACAATGACAAATGATACTTATAAAGAGCTTCACAGTTTGTTTGAAAAAAATAAATTGGTTTTTTGAAGATTTTTTCAGATATATTTAAAAACTTATCTAATATTTATATAAATGTCTATTTACCACAACATGCTCATATATTTGCAACTCTTATAAACATATCTGTTGAAGTTAAAAAAATAGTATACAAAATATACAAAAATATGATACCACATACTAATTACAAAAATATTAAACTAGATCTTCTTTAAGATATATAATTAATTCTGATTGTTAAATTTTAAGCATAATTTTGAATCGTAAAAATTTAGTATTGTAGTATAAAACTAAAAAAAATTATACAATAAAAGACAAAATGAAATAAAAAACTTTTATTTTTATTTAAATAAATAACCTATTTATTTTTTATATATCTGCAATATATCTTTTTATTTTAGAACTCTTTCTGATGATCTTTTAGACAATGCAACAAAAAACTAAACTACAGAAAAATACTATAGAAAGGTTCAAGAATATACTATTTGTAGTTCTGACTCTGAGTAAGTAGTTGTTAACGAAGCCTGTAGATGTGAAACACCAAGGAGCAGGTGTAATTTGAACAGTTTTTCTTGGAGTTAAATCTTTGCTTTTGATAAACTTTTCAAGATATTTGGCATCCAAACCAGAAGATTTATTTTAGGAACTGAACTTACCTTTGAACAGGTTGCTGTCAACAAAGCTTGAAAGATATGAAATACTGAGAAGTGAGTGTAACTTAAGTAGTTTTTCTTGGGGTCAAGCTTTCTTGTGTTGTGGTGGACTTCTCAAAATATTTGGCATCTAAACTAGAAGGTTTATTCTAGGAGCAAATAGTAGAACAGCTCTTGCTACAATAGTATAAGCTTGAAGATACAACTATATAACTGTAAAACTTACAGAAGAACTTCACATACTTTTGTTGGCCCCACTTTTTTTTAGAAAAAATTTTGTAAAAAGTAAGCAATTTAGCTTACCTCTTCCAAAAAATCAACAAATTGTTTACTTATCAAATCGGGCAGCATTGTTTATATTTATTACTTGTCACAACAAATACATGAATATAGAGATACAAATAACTGGATTATGCATCTCGAATGTGACAACCTAGACAAATAATGCTTCGAGCCTAATGGTATGAATTTCTGATTTCTCTACAATACTAATGTCGAAGATGCTTTTCTTTTTTTTTACTTTTTTTAGATTATAAGTTTAGATATGCTATGTATATAAATTAGTGTAGAGAATAGTTTAGATAGTAGTATATAATTTTTAAAGAGTCCACACAGGCTTATAATTGTGACTGTCTGGTGCAGGTTCCCTATGTGGGTGAATAATCTTGTATTTAGTTTAGTTTTCTCATTTTTCCCTTACCCCCTTTTTTTTTATTTGTTTTTTTTTACGTATTCTTTTATATCTCTGTGTTTGTTTTAAAAAAAAATTTTTTTTTCTTTCATTTCCTTACGTGAAGATATCATCAGATTGGTGATATCCTATTGTAGGGTAGTGATCAGACAAGCTCTGGTTAGGGTATTATCTTAATTGATCATATCTTGCTAGTACAGTTAGATCACTTGTAGATATATGTAGATAATCAGTTAGATTATGCGAGACAACCACAGGATGTCAGATTTGCATATTTAATATTACAATATTTTTACAGATTTGGTCTTGATTAAATAAAGATACTGGCACGATCTGTTTAAATGAAAAAAATATATATATATATCTGCAATAAATCTCTATTTCTTATATATATTAATATAATATTACTTCATCTAACAATTTTGTAATATAAATTAAATCTAATTACAAATTACAGAAAATTTATTTTTACTAAATTAAATATATGTACATACCTTATAAAAATAAACAAACACTATAGTTTTTATACAATCTTATAAAAAAACTCATTTTTAATATATTTTTGATCATTATTGGTAGCATGCTCTTGATTATAATTTTGTATGTATACAGATAAATAATGAATTTTTTGAATATGGTGAATATATGAGATTGGATAAATTTGAAAAAATTGTTGATTATTTATTATTTGTTTGTAATATAAGCAGTCTAAAATCAAGTCTTTTGTATTAGTTG